AGCAGTTTTTCTTGCCGTTGAAGAGAGAGTTGATAATGCATATTGCTTGAAGGAAAGTCGATTTTCAGGTCGTAAACCGTTCGTCATACAACCTTCCATCGGCTGACACCGATTCATTCGTCTCCAATGTTATCCGACAGACTGCAAGGACCATTCGAAGGTTCAAGAACAAGGGTGACGAAACGCAGAGGTGGGTATAAAACACAGCAAAGGAAACAAGTTAACTCAATTATCAAACCATTGCAACTAGGAGAGCCTTTAGGAGAAGCCCACGGTTTCTTTTGAATCCCCTCTGTAAAATCGTACCATCATCATCACCGTACATCATCACCATCATCATCATCATCTTCAGTTTCTTTACGTGAAATACTCCGATTTTAGCTGGCGGTCAGTGGTTCGACACGTCAAGACTATGGGTAGGGCTGCACGTAAAATGAAAAAACAACGTAAGGCACTCAAACAGCGACTTCGACAGATGATTGACAATACTCCGGACGGCTTCCAAGATCCGATGAGAACTATGAAAGTGAACGAGGTGAGCTACTGTGTTGAGCGAAATGTTCTACACCCTCACCCTACACTGTATTGTCTTTCAACAAGTTTTTGATGAATGCCACTTCAAGGTGAACTGTGGGATGAAAAGCGTTACCACCATGGCAGGCCTTTTCATTGCGCATGTCGCTACAATCACCAACCAGCGTTTACATTCCATACTGCTCCATCATACCGCCCCCGCCCCTTTCCCCAAGTTTGACATGTGATTTTTCCGGAGTAGTCTTCTTCAACCAGTCTCTTATGATACTTCTTTCGCGGAGGAACAAGATCTCTGAAGGGGAGAGAAGCTACTGAGTCAAAAACTATTGAGCTACTTCAATAAATATTCACAGAAAACGTTATTTTGATTAAGGTTTCTAATGGGAGATGGCCGTCAAAGTGATTTCCATAAAGCTTTACTTTAGTCACTTGGTACTTCAGCTGTTTTTGCGTAATCGTAGTACGATTTGCAAATTCTGCCGATGTAAGAGGGGAGAGGAAGGGGAGTATAGGGGGTTGGTCGTTTTTGTTGAGGCCACTGTACTTCACCGGAACCTCAGCCCTGAATCGTGAAAGGTGAAATGAAGTCGTGAAAGGCTTTGCTCAATTTTTGCTGTTCATTAACAACTTTAATACTCAAATTTTCAGATGGAAATGGAAGATGAAGAAATAGCAAATAAAAGAAAGAAGGCAACGGAGGAAAACGAACTATTCCAAGTTCCCATAAGTATTTTCCGCGAGGCCGTCAAGGTATGAAATTCAAGGAATCTTTCTGTTGTACCCAGGCACGTCATTTTCTAATGCAGCCCGGGGGCATTTTGGGAATTTGATTTTTTAACTGTATCGCTTCTCCTTCTTTTCGGTAGTTAATCATCCTCTTTTGCTGTTACAGTACCCGAGACCTTAGAAAAATCACCTTGGCTAAAACATTGGTTGAAGTACTGCCATTTCAGCTTGCTATGGCTGCAAATGGCAAAAACGTCAGCAATTTTGACAGCAAGACAATCAGAGTCGTATCACCTCGATTCCTAAGTATTGTTCCCGAACAAAACCCAGATGAAGTGGTAAGTGACTAAGCATGGTCTTCAAACACTTTTCCCCCTTCTATTCATGGCGTCATAGAGAGCCTTCAGAGCAATTACATAGGCTTTCTACCAGATTCTCAAAGTCTTTTCACCCCCTTATAATTCCTTATGATGGTGCCCATCCACTCGACTCCCATCCTCAATCGTGGTGGCGTTTTGAATGCATGTGGGGCCTATACAACGACTTGCAGTAGCCACCCAAGGTGCTTTTAACCTCCTGTCTAATCTGATTCCAAGGTTTGGTTTACTTAGTGAAGATCCATCCAATAAGCTGGAGCATAGAGGCAACTCACACTGTTCAGCGCCAATCAAGAGGAATGCAGGGTTTGAGGCGTCATCCACCCCCCCCCCCCCCCCCCCCCCCCCCCCCCCCCCTCCTCCTCCCCACCCTTCCCTTTCCCTTTCTCCTACCCTTCACCCAAATTCCTAGAAAAGTAAACAAGTAAAGGATGCGATGGCCATTAATCAACAGCCAAGGGTTCCTTTTCAGATCAATATGCTTTCACCATCATTGTTTTCAATACATGGAGAAGGTAGCGATGCCGAAAAAACAATGTCACTTCAAAATTTGGTAAAAGCACTACCGAATAAAGATCAGGAAGCCTGGCTTGACTTCATCGTGGAAGCTGCAGGTGAGCCTTTTCTCAGAATTTTCACTTTTCAAGCAACAAGTTATGTATGTGTATGCGACACGCGAATTGATGGGAAGGACTCCTTCAGTCTTCAAAGTTGTTATAATTGCGTCTAATCAGTGGCAGCATAGCAATCAGATCTATGGAAGTGAGTCAAAAATGAAAAAGGGGCACTGGTCGATGGAGAACCCGGGAAGAAAAGGCGACTATTTGTCGCCATGTCTTGGGGTCGCTCAACTCCTCTTTCGCATAATCTGTCATAGTGTGGTAGGTAAACCAAGTCGAATGGGAGGCCCTAAGTTGCCCATAACGCGGTCAAAATCGCCCTTCATTTGACCCTCAACAGAAGTCCCTATGAAGATTGCTACCTCTGCAGGTTGAGGGATGGCAGCAGAAATCTCCTTCCTGAGCCTTCCCTCGCAATAATTGCTTCGGTGCTATGAGAACTAAGTCTCTATAATTTTTTTATTCGGTTTTACCTCCATTCTACACCAGCCATATTAATACTCCAGTAATTGAAGTTTCTTGTAAAGCCTTATAAAGTGTACCCACTCCTCACCTATCCGGCTAGGAGGACGACTGACTATTAGGCAAAATATTGAGATGATTGTACAAATGTGGTTGGGGAGAAGTTACAACAAAAATTAAAAATCGTAAATTCGGTATTTAAGGTGTGACTGACTTCATTGATAAGTCGGAAAAGGAAAAAGAAGAGCAACGCAGAAAAGAAGTCAGCGCTGCTGATGGTACACCTCTCTACTTCACGAAGAAAAACGTCACGAAAATTTTTGGTGAGGAAGAGAAACGAAAAATAGAAACTTTCGAGGAGTTGGACCGAATGTATACGGATTCACAGGTTTGTTAAGATTTCCTAATTCACGCTATATCTCTGAAATTCACCACTCACATCAATCGCTTACTTCATACATAAAGTAAAAGGATAAGCGGCCCCGCACTTGACTTTCATTCAGAATCGTAGTAATGAGTGCGTATGTGGCCTATACAATGACTTGCGGTGGCCAG